TTTATACTATCTTATCCAACTGATCGGTGCATTTTTCGCCACTCATTCTCCATACTTCACTTTCACAACTACCATTCATACTAACACCATTTCTGTCAATCTGATTTCTCGCTATACTCATGAGATGTGACAACTTCCACCAATACAAAATCGTGTTACGTCCTGCTATGCGCATGACTCACTAACACTATCAAAAGAACATTATTCACATTCACTTCCCGTGTTTAACACTGGACAGTTATCTAATGAATTCATAGGCAGCAAAATCACGACGAAACACCTAAACTGAATTTCACATTAGGATGAATTGTGCAGTTCTTCCTTAGTCTGCTTACTTACATCGTATTGCCGAAAACTTCTATCCCACCACATGACAACAGTAAAAACGCCAAAACACACCGACTCTAGGTAGAAAAATCAATTTATGTTGATAAGAAGAGAAAAATTAGTTCATTAGCAAACACAGTTCACATCATAATACATATAATACAAATTTGTTTGTTTGTTTTTGTTTAAAAGAGATAAAACTGGAAAAATTGACTTTCTACTGAAGATCCAGTTCCTTCTCATCTATTACTAGTATTTTCACTAAAAATATAGTGTGTCACCTCAGTTATCATTTGGCATAGTTCAATAACAATACAGTTAGTATAAAATGAAATTCACAGCAAGGAGAAACACAGTTTACAGCGTCATACAAAACAATGTGTTCTGCACACATTGATCAACAAAACAAACAAGTATTCATTTCGTAAAAATACAATAGTGATAGACAATGAACAAAAGAATAGTGCCGTGAAAATGTGTGTACATGTATAAGTCAGTATCCATGTGCATGTAATCATCAGTTAGATTTATTCTTGTTAAGAGATACTATACAGTTCACTAGAAAGTTATCAATTAAGTAATGAACTGGGAAAAACACAGCTGTACACATGCACAAACAATAAATTGTAGTGATGATGATGATGATTGCAATGTCATTGTAGTGTAGTCTCCCACTAAGCTCATTAACAACTTACTCAATTGTCATCATTCGTGACTGTATCAAATCACTTCTCTCATATGATGCACACAACAAAGATTCAGTGTTCACTCGCCTTCACTTCTACATTCTCTCCTTTGAATTCACAAACACACACACGCACACACAAGCGAACACGTGAAAGGTGGAAATGTGCACAAAACAAAAGTCAATGCAAATGATTTCATCCACACAAAATAAATAATGGATAAGTAGAGACAGTGGTGACCGAATCAGTAATCGTTAGCGTCAAAAACAAGAAAGACAACAGCAACCACCACTAATTTACATTTATCATAAACATTCTGTCCATCGATTTGTTGTCGATTTACTGATATCAGCCAATCAATCAATCAATTTATTAACAATAATAGTTTACAGAAAAATAATTAATCAATTCTCTTCATACAAAATGGAAACAAATTGTTATTTGATTATTCCCTTGTTTCTAACTACAACACCGTCGTCCACTGTTTGAACTGTCTGTGTTCGGTGAAATGATCGGTTGATTATGATATGGAGACATTTTCATGTCGACATTACTCACTGGAGGATGTGAACGGACAGCTTCGAAAATGGCTGGACACAATGTAAATGATAAAAAGAACAGTAAGTTCACAAATCAAATGTTTGGCAGTTTTACACAAAATTCAATGAACGACTATTGCACACTTGATTGGTAGAATTCAAACAGTAGCACAAAAGTACCAGACAAACACAGCATTGGTCACTGCCACTACTTCACTGATCAATCATTTGTAAACAACTGATTCCTACGAGAATTCGGTTATGGTTCGAATAGCTCGGTGATAACCTCTTACATTGTGACGTTCGGCGACCCAAATCAGTTCCGATCCACTGGGAAGCATCAGTTCTCTCCCAAAGTTGCAGGCACGCATTAGCGACAAGTATCAACTAGCAACAGCTAGGGTTTCAACTTCTAATGAAGATGTTTATTACCTGCTTGGAGGGTGCTACATTAGCATTGAAGTGGTGAAACAGTATAACCCACATTCAATTACTGATGCTTCAAAATAATAACCTTCATGACACGGAGAACTGGAAACAACCAAATCCTGATAAACCTCCATCGGCATATCAGCACTCCTTGGTCATCATAGAATCTCTTCTACAATCAAAACTCTCATCCTTGTGTTCTTTTCATATTCATAGAAACAAACCGCTCTGGGAGACAGTAAGAACAACTCATTCATATTATTACCAAAATGCTAGCATTACTATATTTATCACTAAATCACTTTAGAGAAGTTGGGCTAGACTAATGTGCCTAGGCAGTACTTTATCGACAAATACATGGATGGAAAAGTATTCATATTCAACTCTGTCTAAGTAAACACAAGTTTTAGGCCGATGTGTTCACCAACACTAACCGAATGTTCACGTAATTAATTAAAAACAATTACATTTATTCAGATACATACTTCGAATTAAATCGTACATCGCAATACCGTGATGGTTTTTCATTTACTAATTCTTACCATTCAATATTTGCTTCACCACACATTTTGTACGGTGCATATCTCGTACATGAAACTGAAGGCACAGATTTGACAACGTTTTTGTGTCTAAATATGTCCATAAACCGTAAACATCAAGCCGTTACATCATCATATTAACAAAGTAAGAGCATATACAAGAGGTGTGACGGATAATAACACTGACATTTACCCTGATGTGTCACATTCAATCTTTTATCAAGTCACAAAAACCAATAACAATAAAGTAAGTTAGCCTTATATTTTTAACTCACTCACCGGATACGTGGGCACGAGACACTAAGTGTGAAGATTAATGATGCTACACAGTTGCTTAAACCAAAGTAAGTTGAGCGAGGTCTGAACTTGAGACTTGGTGGCTGGAAGTCGAATGCTTTGACCATTGAGCCACAGCTCCATAAGTAAATACTCACTTCCTACTTTTACTGTTACAGACGCAGTGAATATGCTTGTACAGTAAAGCAGAGTTTGCCAACATGAAATTCACTAAGAAACGAAGACAGACCATCTTGCAACCAGATTCATACTATACTTTGATGGGGTAACAAAGATGAAGCATTATCATCCTAGAAAAATATTTGTCCTCAAACGTAGTCTGTTGATGCGAACCAACGAGCTTCCTTAAATATTAAAGCCTTAAAGATTTACAGTTCAGTGGTGAGCCAATGTAATCTATGCAAATGATAAACCAAAGAGCACCAAAACAACAAAATCTATTTTACACAGTTAACTTCATCTTCTCAATCAAAACTTAAGTCATCATATGATTTGAAATATAAAACTAACTTTTAAGAATCGAGTAAAAAGCATTCTCAACGCCGGTGGATTCCAGAGCCGACGTTTCCATAAAGAATAGTCCATGCCTTTCAGCCCAAAGCTTCGCATCTTCCGTCAATATAGTTCGCAGATGCCTAAGGTCACACTTATTACCAACCAACATAATAACGATATCTGGTTCTGCATGGCCTCGTAACTCCAGTAACCAGTGTTCCAGATTGTTGAAAGTCTCTCTTTTCGTGATATCGTAAACCAACAGCGCACCGACAGCACCACGGTAATAGCTTCAAGAGAAAACGTTGAAATATGTCATTGTTTACATCTGATGATGCTTAGTGAACTTATGACTTCTAAGTTAAACAACGAGAGTGAGCCAAAACGCAGTCAATAGTCTCGAACACACCATGCCGAATAACCTCTTGCATACTACAATATATAAAATAGCTTGGTTAATGGTATGCATGAAATTACTTAGCCAGACGGAGTGATGTGACTAGAATGCTGGAAAGAAATGAAGACCAGGATTTTCATCCTCATGTTGACAACTCGTTTATACCGGCATCATGTTCCGTAATGATAACTAAAGATCGGTAAAAAAAACTATCATAAAACTAAGGAACTATGCGGGCAATGGGGGTTGATAACTCGAGAACCTAATAAAAACCGGTTTGACATTCTATCAGACCGAGGTCTTTACATGTTAGAATATCTAAATAAACATCTATTAGTAAGACTAATATCTGCAGAGTAAATTATTCGTTAAAATATTCAGCTCCCATCACCTAAATCGCGTGTTTCAATGCTGAACCACTCACTAAAGTTTGTTCTATCCACTAGTATCACTGGTCCTTGCAAAAATCACGACTGGAAATTTACAAAAACGAGTTTCGTTACTAAGCCAAATTAAATCATTTCGAATTATTCACTTACGACAACTATTTTGAAACTATCTATAACTGCTTTTGTCCAATTTACCAAATCGGGTAGAACAATTTAAGACTACCAAACAATGAATAACGTCGAGACGCTTTGATAGAATGCTACATTTAGCAATTGGTGCACAACTGCGTTTTTGTCAGACGCAATCATCTTTACAACGTATTGTGTGCAGTCATTAAGACCAAGTACTATCACAACAGTAACTCGAAAATGAAAAGGTCATATTTGCCAGTTTCTTAGATCTAGCACTGAAATCTCTACATAAAGATGGTAAACTCACGCGGCTGTTATAGCTCGATAACGTTCCTGACCAGCAGTATCCCAGATCTGTGCCTTTATAGTCCTTCCATCAATTTCCACGCTCCTAAATGCCACAATAAATATTTCCCACAGACTCACTTTGTAGCGAACTCAACACCGATCGTACTTTTACTTTCCAAATTAAACTCGTTTCTTGTGAAACGTGAGAGTAGGTTACTTTTCCCGACACCTGAATCCCCGGTCAGTACAACTTTTCAATTGAAATAAATTTCTAGATCTTTTATTACCTTTAAACAAATAGTCGTACTTATCATCCTCACCAGATATAGAACTTGCATACATCGTCAACCCTCTCAAAAACCAGACAGTGTAAACTGTACTGTAACACGTGTAATCAGCAGTCACTGGAAGACGGGAAAACCTAAAGCCACAACACACACAATGTTAACTGAACACTTTACACCACAGAGAGAACGAGGAACGGAGGCCAATAGACGTTTATTTTGAAAATTAAAATACGCGGGGTCTGTACAGAAGGGGAGCTAGTTTACAAACGGTCTTATGAGTCATCATGTAAGTTTAGTGCGTTCAGGGCTTGCTCTTCTTCTTCTAAAGCGTTTATTCCTGCTTGCCCTGCAATAGAAAGAAAACAAAATCTATTAACAACATCATACATGATGATTTTAATCCCGTTACATCGCCCCCTCTCCTAATGAGGCACTGTCCTCAGTGCCTGATCTTGGGCACGGGTATGCTGTCCCTCCTTCAGGTGGTACTTCGTAAAATCTAGTGGCCGGCGGTGGATCAGCGAGTTGAACATCGAAGGGAAATGTTGTCCGATCAGGTTTTATCTGGTTGTAGTGCACCGTTATCACATCGTCTTTAGGTCGTTGTATGTTACGTAATACAAACGTGGTGGGCGATCGGATGAGGACAATTTCAAAGGGGCCTTGCCAGGGTTGATGGAATTTACTGCAACCCCCTAGCGACGTCATTGGGCGGCGTAACCAGACGCGATCTCCAACCGTATACCTAGGTCCTTGTGCTTGACGATCATATATATCTTTTTGGTGTCCACTGGCCTTGCCTAAGTTAATGTTGACCAGACGGTAGGCATCAGCTAGTCGGTTGCGGAGAGTACGTATGTACGGAACATGCTCTTGTTCTTCGTAGGGCAGCAGGGGTGACTGTATCTCTACTGGTAGGCGTAGTTCGTGCCCGAACAACAAAATAGCAGGCGAGAATCCTGTGGACCCATGTACCGACGTACGATATGCTAAAAGGCATTGGGGAAGCACCTCATCCCATAACTCCGGTGACGATCTACTGACAAACGACTGCAAGATGGCTTTAATAGTTCTGTTTGTTCTTTCTACGAGGCCGTTACCTTCTGGGTGATAGGCAGTGGTGTGTGTCTTCTTGATTCCTAATAGCCGGCATATCTCAGTAATGAGGTGGCTTTCAAAGGCTGGACCTTGGTCGGAGTGGAGTGAGACAGGGGCACCATAACGGGAGACCCAGTGATCGATGAAAGCTCGGGCAACAGTAGGGGCGTCCTGCTGTGGAAGGGGTACAGCTTCGCACCATTTAGTGAAATAATCCACCATAACCAGTATGTAGCGGTTCCCGTTTTTTGTCGTAGTTAGTGGTCCCATGATGTCTATACCAACTCGCTGGTGTGGTCCTGTCGTTACCATCGGCGTCATTGGTGCACGGGGTGTCTGCTGAGGCGATTTAAAACGGCAGCACGTGTTACAATTCTTGCAAAACTGAGCTACATCTTCGTGTATAGAAGGCCACCAAAAGCGTTGACGAACAGCGTGTTCCGTTCTCCGTTCTCCCGCATGACCAAGTTCGCGGTGTACCTGTTCCACAATACTCTCAACTTTCACTCGCGGTACTATCAGTAGGGGTTGTTTTGATTCATTCATTAGGAATAATGTGTCACCATACAGCTTGAAGTTACCCCATTTGGTGCAGATACGACGAGTTGTTACGGATTGATCTTTAAGCTCCCTCATGGATGGCTTACTATTTCCATGTAGCTGTCTTTGATAAACAATCTGTAAGTCTGGATCTGCTGCTTGTAGGGAGGGCCAGTCTGTCTCTGGAGCTGTACTAAGAATTGCGTTAATAATATCTGTGGTCTGGGGTATTCGGGAGAGTGCATCCGCGTTTGCATGTCGATTTCCTGGGCGATACTCGCATGTGAAATCGAACTCTTGTAGTCTCTCCTGCCAGCGTGCCACTTGCCCTTCTGGTTCGCGGAAAGAACGGAGCCACTGCAGTGCACGGTGATCCGTGCGCACACGAAAGGGTTTGCCCAACAGATAATGGCGAAAATGTTGTAAGAATTTTACTAGTGCTAACATCTCCCGACGTGTTGTAGAATATCGTGCTTCAGTCTTATCTAATCGTCGACTAGCATACGCAATGACCCTTTCGTGTCCGTCTCGAGCTACTTGTGATAAAACTGCTCCAATAGCCGAGGAACTAGCATCCGTATCGAGTATAAATTCGCCTCCGTCTGCTGAAGTATCTGGGAAGGCTAATATAGGTGGAGAAGTTAATCGAGCCTTCAAAGCATCAAACGCCTGTTGACACTCGCTGGTCCATAAAAATTTTCGTCCTTTGTGGGTTAATCGGTGGAAAGGTGCTGCTAATGATGCGAAATCACGTACGAAGCGTCTATAGTAAGAAGCTAGTCCAAGGAAGCTACGAACGTCTTCAGGTGATTTTGGTTGTGGCCAATTAACAATCACACGTGTCTTTTCTTTATCTGTTGCCACTCCATCTTCTGTAATGCGGTGCCCTAAGAAAAGCACTTCTTTTTGCAATAGTCGACATTTAGATGGTTTCACTTTTAGGTTATGCTGCTTAATACGTTGTAGGACTGCCTTCAAATTGGCATTATGTTGTTCTGGCGTGTTGCCATATACAATAATATCGTCAAGGTAGATTAAGCACTGGTGCGGTACGAGACCTTGCAGAACTGTCTGCATCAATCGTTGAAAGGTAGCTGGGGCGTTAGTTAGCCCGAAAGGCATTACTTGAAATTCATATAAGCCATTAGGCACTACAAATGCAGTTTTTTTTCTATCTTGGGGTCGGACTTCCACTTGCCAATACCCGGATGCTAAGTCTAGCGTTGAGAACCAGCGAGCACCTTTCATGGCATCTAAGGTAGCGTCTATCCGTGGAAGTGGAAAGGAATCACGCTTAGTTATAGCATTAAGGCGCCGGTAATCTACACACAGTCGTAGGGAGGAATCCTTCTTTTTTTACTAAGACAATTGGCGATGCCCAGGGTGACGAAGATGGTACAATAATCTTTTTTTCTAACATATCTTTTATCATGGATTCTAAATGAGGCTGATAATGCACCGGGACCCTACGAGGTGGTTGGCGTAATGGCATGTGGTCACCTGTGACAATGGAATGTTGCACAATGGTTGTCCGATTTCCAGAGATGTTCTCCGAGAAAACAGTGCTAAATCGTTGGAGTACGTCAATGGTAGCCCGACGGTCCTTTTCACTTATTAATTGGTTATCTCGTACCTGACGTACAATCTCTGCAGTTCCCACCTGGGCTACGGACTTAGTTGGTATTTCATGGTGTTGTATTTGTACGACAACTCCACCAATACTCGCTTCTGACTTATTCATGTGTATAGAGACCTGGTATTTTAACATGAAGTCGACCCCGAGAATCATGTCCCAAGTCAGTGTGGGGCAAACCCAGAATTCATGTTGAAAAGGCTTCTTGTCAATCGTCAGCTCTAACCCTATCTGAGAACATGCTTTCAAGGGTTCTCCGCTCGCGGTAATTAACGTAGAAGAGCGTTGTTTACGCTGGGTGCTGAGGTTAAGTTTCTGCAAGAGGTCTTCCTTGATCAAGGATACTGAAGCTCCTGTATCTAATAGTATATTAATCTCAGTACTTTGCACTCTACCCTTAATAGTAACAGGGCACAAATGCTTAACATAGCAAGACGATATATGTAAACGACACTGCTTACCTGGTTTCCGGGGGCGGTTGTGACCGCATCTTTTGGCGTTCTTGCCAAACCTTTTGCAATATATACAGTCGGCTTGGCGCCCATTGTAATTTCTCCATGCTGGTTGTTTGTTCCATCTCAAATTTGACTGTCCGCGGATAGCACCTCGACCGGGAAGGTCGGTCACAGCTATTGTAGCCTGGCAGGTGTCCGGACCACTAGATTTTGTGGCTCGTTCCACAGTCATTACCGATGATGAATGTGCATTGGATACATTCGCTAGTTTGTCAGCGGCCAGAAAGCGTAATGTTGTTCTCTTTACGTCAAACGTATCCGTTGGTGGATTTCGAAGGAAGTGTTCTCTGAGTGGTCCGGGTAACAGGCCCTCGACAAAACGTGAGCGAATTAGTTCCTCTCGTCCCATCATATCCAACCGGGGGAATGCTTGTACCGCAACTTGCTGTAGGGAATGAAGGTAGTCTACTGGACTCTCGTTCGCTTTTTGGTGGCGTGATAAAAACTGAATTGTCATTTGCTGGGTGTCCACGGGCAGGGAAAAACAGTCGTCCAGAATTCTCCAGTTTTGTGGGAGCGTGTTACTGGCCGAAAACCCGTTCGCTATAACCCTGCGTACTGCATCATCACTCAGATAGGAAACAAGGTAGTTGAAATGCTCGGATAATGGAACTCTCTGCAGGTACGCTGTGACTTTAAACTTCCAAACGGAGTAATCTGATGATGTTTCGAGCAGTGGTGGTTGATGCGGGGTTGAACTGGAAGTAGCCCTGATTGGAATCAAAGGGGGTTCGTCTAGGTTCTCATCGCGTTTTTCCATCTCACCTCCGACACCAGTTGTAACACGTGTAATCAGCAGTCACTGGAAGACGGGAAAACCTAAAGCCACAACACACACAATGTTAACTGAACACTTTACACCACAGAGAGAACGAGGAACGGAGGCCAATAGACGTTTATTTTGAAAATTAAAATACGCGGGGTCTGTACAGAAGGGGAGCTAGTTTACAAACGGTCTTATGAGTCATCATGTAAGTTTAGTGCGTTCAGGGCTTGCTCTTCTTCTTCTAAAGCGTTTATTCCTGCTTGCCCTGCAATAGAAAGAAAACAAAATCTATTAACAACATCATACATGATGATTTTAATCCCGTTACAGTACCAGTAAATTAAAGTAGTGAAGCATTAAAAGACCGTGTCCGATGTTTCAGTTCCACTTTGTAAAGGATAAGAGGCTTAATGGTCTGTATTAGTCGTGTCAATGATGGTCTCTTAGTTGGACGAAATTTCTTTTGAAAGAGTCGAAGGATGGAGCTTCAATCACGTGATGAGGTAATTAATCCCACTCGTTGATGATTCGATGGGAAAGTCGATAGTCAGTTGACAAGTAATTTGTTCTGAGCTTGTGAACTTTTTCGGAGTGTCCTCGTAAATCCTCTGTTTTGTAAGGCAAGAAAAATAAGGGCATATCATATGCAAGTTTACCACTAGGTAAATTGAAAACTAATCAAGTCACTTCTAGTTCTTCGATATGACAATAGAATTAGGTTTAAGCTTAGCCAGTCGAGCATCATACGGGAGCTTCGCTATTCCAAAAATCAGCTTCACTGCTGTTCTCTCAACCCTTTCCAAATATTCACTGTCTTTTATTAAGCAGGGGCTAGCCTCCTGTATCCAGTACTCAAGTTTAGGACTCACAAATACTGTATACAAAGTCAAAAAAGCCTTAGCGTCAACATGCCTCGTGTGGAGGGGATTTGTGTTCCATAATATCTATAGACTGCGTTAGCCAAGTTTCTGTGACTGCGGTTGTATCCGGCTTGGTAGATTCAATCTGTACACCTAGTTCCGACCGCTTGTTGAACAGACTCCGGACATTTGTGTAGTAGATCCGAAGTCTATTTAAATGACTTCGTGCTGCACCCATAGTGACTTCGACATCACTCCATGTCAAAGCCCCAAAACCCGAAATTTTACAACTTTTTGATCCATTCTGCCAGCATCTAACCTAATTTTTAGTCCTTTTTCGGCTTCCCGTCTTTTTACACGATCTGCAAGTGGCAAGTCCTTAGGAACAATAACTCCTGAACCCTTTGGTTTATGTCTATTGAGTCCCATTCATTAGGAGATTTAATTACTACTTTAAGCAGCCTGATATGATTTTGTTTCGAGTTCGTTTGACTACCTATTCTTTACATCTTTAGCAACGTGACTCCGGAGTTATCACGAGGCATAAGCTGGTTTAGTGGATGTTTAATCAACCCAATATCATGCTCACAATGAGTTTTCGGCTCTGACCTTTCACATTCCTTCATTTTATGAAAGACAAATGACATGTCACTGTGACCAGTCAGTAATTTTCTGGCTACTTTCTGAAGGGTTCGATTTTCACTAAGAGCGTTATATCGTTTCTTGCTCTCGACTTGTACCCACTCATCGACTTTCGTTAGAGTGGCAACCAGAGTCGTGTCGACCACACTCTGGGATACCGGAAGGTTGTCGATGACTTGGGCAGCCAGGTTGTTTTTCTGCTAGGAACAAACCTAGCACTGCGATTGGCATTCTTAGGTGTTTCTTGTCGGTTCCAGTTTAGAAGACGTAGGATAAAGGAAATTTCTTTTCTTGAGCTTTTATTTAAGACAGACCTCTTCGAAGTTGGTATTTTCTCCTTTAACTGACGTGAGTAAGTTGTTTTCGCGCTCACATGAGATGGCTTCATATTGATCAGTGTATTGACAGAGCGAGTACTGCCAAATGCTTCCCGACCTGGTTTATTGATACACTTTCTAGCAGTATTAACATTGAAATGGCCTCGAATAGCAAGCTGTTTGCGTCCCAGCAGCAGTGCTCACAAGAACCACACGCAACTATTTTCATTAAACCGTTTGAAAACCGTGGGCGTTAAATTCGTGCAAACTTCGTGTTACCAGCCTTTGCACTTGTCACACTGCATGCGTTGTACCACTCATCCAAAATCCAATATCTTTGTGATGAACTTGTATAAACCAATCGATTTCTTTTCACTCACTCTTTGTGATTTTGCTCGAGGCTCCAAGTCTATGGTAATGTACAGTGGGCTGTAGTCTAGCCACTCGACTATAACAGTTCTAGTCATTTGTTGTAGTTATTTATGGGTTCATGTATATGTTAATCTGAGTGAGTGTATATGGTTCAGGAGTGTAATTTTTTTGAAAGCAGTAGTCATCACAGTACCAGGGGTGAGTTGGTTTGGTTGCATTGTGAGAAACAATAAAGAGGAAACTCGAATACAACTAGAAGACGGTTGTCTCACGAAGAAATAATTAAGTTAACTGATTGGCAACCCAGACAATGTGAGTAAATTGAAGTGTACGAATAAAACGGCGAACAAAGCAAGATAGGAATAAGCTGTTGATACATGGTAGTGATGATGGTAGTTAGGTCTGCATATATATATCAATTACGGCCAGTCCAAGTAGGAGTTGGTAATCCATGTATGAGTCCGTATTTATCAGGTCTCTCCATGCAGCTTTCCACTGAGGGGCTTGTGGTCACTTAGTTGGGTAGAACATTCCAAATGAGGACAATTCTTTTAGAGACAAAGTGAGGACGTACCTGAGCAATCGCTCAGCGATGTCCATTTTTCTGTTCTTTACCTCTGAAGATACTACAGGCATTCTGAGATTCACAACGCTATTCCACACAACACTTTTATAATCCGGGTATACCAGCCAAATCGAATCAGAAGTCAGAAATAAAGTGGTTCGAAGATATATTTGTAAGGTGCAACACAGACTCTCAAACAAAATGGAGAAATGCTCGGGAATGTTGGATGCCACAAATTCCCTGAACACAGGAACAGGATGGACTTCCTAGCTCACATGATGTGTGTCATTAATGGATCATTTAATAATCTCGTATTACCCATTGAGAATGCTTTTAAGTGTCAGAGTCTTTGTAAGATTTGTTTCTCAGCCTTGTACCCCACTTGTTTGCTCATCTCCGTACTTGGTCTAAGAGATTTGTCTCTTTATAGGGAAGGAGAGCAACAATGCTGTGCACTTTTCAGTGAGGCTTTGAGCACGTCGGAAAACGTAACAGAAATTATTTCAGGCGAAAATCTGTCTTCGCACGAATTAAAGAATAGAATTTTGTTTGGCGACATCCCCAATGTGGTTTGAGCTAGTATCTTATCTCCCCATACTTAACAGTCTTAGACCGTGCTGTGAGATGTGTGAAGGTCGAGATACCGCCCGGGTGCCAAAATCGACGCAGGTAGTTTTCTTAGGGGAACACACCCCGAGCCTTTGACCTTGAGGTCTAATTCACAAGGCAGTGGAGCAACGTCAGGAGATGCAGTCCCATAGTAGTCGGTGACCAACAATTGCTTTATACGCCATTTGTTCCTTCAGGATAATGGAGTCCATGTACACCATTGGTCTAGAATGCGGGTTTCCGAACTCCGCTAGGTGGATCCTCCATATCCAACAACCCGGTTAAATCACAGGAACTCCGCTTTTCGTCCTCTCAATTTCGTAAACAATAACCGTTGCGCGAGAATGCAGTGATTAGGACTTAAGTGACCTTAAACACCTCGATCAAAAAGACGTAGATATGTAAACACCATGTAGACATCATCACTGAGCTACTGGGTTACGAGTGATTGCGTGTTGAAGTGAGACACATACAATCTATTGATCACTGAATGATGATCAACGTCATGTTTGTCTTATCCTTAGTATTGACCGAGATTTATCGATCAAATTACAGTATGAAGACTATTCTAAGTAACTGGACAGCACTTAAATTATGTTGATGTTCAGTGGTAACACCTCATTAAGTGAAATTAGATAATGGGGACTCAAATATCATTGGATAGATCAGTTCTCTGTAAAATACAGCGTTACCTTGTTGATCAATGTTACTTAGGATTTCCTGTCGATTACATACAACTTACTGAATGCAGCCACGTATTTCAAAATGGTGCATGAGATTTCAAGTCATTCAGACTTGTGGTCACAATACATATTGATCTATAGCATTCAATTAACACTAAAGAACTAGACAGATATCACACAGGTCATTCATTACTCTGTGACCAATCAATTTAAGCTGAAGAAATACCTGATGTTCACATTATTCTGTGGAGTCCGGTTATTTTACCTTCTTAATATTGAACAGTTTAGTAATAGAAATTCTGATGGTAAATGCAGAATGAATATGCTTTCAAAACTATACTAATTATCTTTAGATATCGGAATGTGTTGAAACGCAAAGTGCATATTTCTTCTTACATTGATATTGTGAGATAAATGTACCTAAATTCCAGTGTTGATGTTCTAACTCACACTTGAAACTAGTGTCTGTCACTTCATAATCTATCATTTCATCCATTTCAGTATTAAGGATTGGTAGCATTATACATGCATATTGATTGTCTCTAAAAACATTGTGTATATTAGCAAATGTATAGCTCCGAAAATGACCAGTGTGGTAGCAACGTCAGCAGCAGTAGGTTTCAACAAACACAAAGGGAGAAGCAAGGTTCTCCGATGCAACACAACATGCACCAATCGAATCACAGTTGACGAAGAAGCTTTGGAAGTTGTGAAAACCTTCACATATGTGGGCAGTATCATTGCTAAACACAGTGGATCTGACGCAGATGTGAAGGCACGGATCGACAAAGCAAGAGCAGAATGTCTATGATTGAAGAGCATCTGGAACTTAAAGCAACTGTCAACCAACATCAAAGTTAGAATTTTTAATACAAATGTCAAGAGAGTTCTACTACATGGGGCGAAAACTTGGAGAACTACGAAAGCAATCATCCAGAAGAAGTGTTGTCTACGTAAAATACTTGTTTTCTGTTGGCCATACACTATCAACAACAACCTACTGTGGGAGAGAACAAACCAGATTCCAGTGGAGGAAAGAATCAGGAAGAAGTGCTGGAAGTGGACAGGACATATATTGAGCGAAGCACCCAACTGCGTCACAAGGCAAGCTCTCACTTGGAATCATCGAGGCTAAGGTAGAATAGGAAGATCAAAGGTATCATCTCTTTTATGTAAACGTGTTCACCATGCCATTATTGTAACTCTGACATGGTTGTATGTTTGTATAATGTATCATATCGCCTGTTTAACATTTTCAATCACCAATGTTTTTTTAAAGTG